ATGTGAGCGTAAATCTGGCATGAAAAAAAGAACTTTGTAATTTTGTTTGTACAGGTTTGCACTTCCCACGTTTTTGTTTTCAACCTTTGCCAATGATGAGGGAAGTACATGAACAGCTATTCAAATGATATAGGGAGATACCTCGTTTATGATCTTTGATTTATTGTCATATTTTATTTTTAAGATTGGAGCATCTAAGAGTGCTTCTGTTATCTTTTCTTCATCCAGTGTTTGTGGACGTTGTAAGATATTAAAAACTTTTTAAATTTGTTCTTGGAAGAATGTTACAGTGAACTGGTTGTCATCTTGTGAAACTTTAACTTGTGCAAAACAGTTGGTAATACATTTATCTCTTTTTTGCGTCAGATTACAGTTACCACATTTTATAATCTTGGCAGTAAAAGATCCATCTGCTACCTTTTTGTGGCACTGTAAACATGAAAGGTACTTTCCGAATGTTAGCAGACCAGTGACTTCAACCTTGGCCTCTGTGGTTGTAAAAGAATCAGGCAGTTCAACAGACAGGGGTAAGGATTCAATGAAGTCCTCTGCTTCCGACACTGTACAGTCATGCATCGTTGTGTCCAAGGCCAGTTTGTCAGACTTGTATTCTTTTATAACTCTAACGTTATGGAATGTATAAGTTTTTCTTTCACTGACTTCATTTATTTTGTCTTCCCAGAGAGTTAATGTTATTGTTCCGGATGGATCGCTGAGGAAGCATTCAGCTTTACATTTTTCTCCATTCGCTGTAGTTACTTTTTTTGTACCACTGATCTTTGTAACTTTCGCTTTAATTGTTATCAGCTGTTGGAAGTGGACACCAGAGAGTGACGCTATGTTATTTGTTTGTGGTATTTCTTTTGGTGCGAATGATACCTTGGTTGCGTCAATTCGGACTTTGTTGTCCATAAGTACTGTATTTGATTTAAGATCCATTTGGAAGTTGCTGAGCTTCACAGGGCTCTTTTTTGAACTTCTGGCTTTCAGGTCATCGTGTTTTTTTGTGGCAAAGCATATTGCTCTAACGGTACTATCAGGGCCAGTTTGAAGTAACATTTCAAAGTAGCTTGATTTTGAGCTTTTCTTCACTGGCGATACAGCATGGAGATATCCTGTTAGTTCATGAGGTTTGTCCATGTTAAAGCTGTTGAGAGAAAGCGATTTAAAATGAATACTTTGTAGCAAGATAATAAATTTTAATATATTTTAATTAAAGAAATTGTATTTTTGCGTTGTACATGTAAAGTTGTAATGTAATGTTTAAAGCAAAGTAATACTTGCCTTTGTAAGTTTTAATCAAATGGCGGGGAAAAGAGAGCGTTCAGGGTTACCATCCAAAATTAGACAGCAACCTCAAACAACACAAGAAAATTTAAACTACATGTAGCAGTTCTCAATGAGAAATGAGTGCTGCTGTTAGTTGCATGTTTTAATACTACGTACAACACGTGCTATTATTTGTTTATAAAACACAAGGCGAATATCTAATCCTACTGGAGTTATGACGATTGCAGCTCATTTACAGATGTCAACTCATGCTTTTATTTGTTTATAAAATACAAAGCAAATAACTAATCCTACCCGGCCAAGTTACGACGCTTGGAGCTCATTTACAGATGTGGTATTAAAGCTTCCTTTTGAAACATTTAAGCAACAGAATCCTCTTTTAAGCTCAGTTACACCACACAAAAAGAGTTTTATTTTCGATACTTCTAGTTTCTTTGACACTTTTACGGTTAATTTATTGATGGCTTCAAGAATATTGACGGCTGTCTACAGCAGCAATTATGTTCGAATTAATGCACAGATTGCTTTATGATCTGAAAAATATGTTTCAATGTGTGCAAATTCACCTGTGATTCAGGTAAATTAGTATAAATGTGGTCTATGGTGGTTCTGTTGTCAGTTGTATAACATGATATTAATTGCCTGTAGCTGTTTTCTCTAATGAACAAATTATAAAGAGGAAGTTTCTCTTTTTCATTTAACCAGTTCACATTAAAATCACCCATAAATAGTTTAAATTTGGAACAGTTCATAGTCAGAAGTTCTGTTAATGCTAAACACATCTGTCGCACAGATTTGCGACTGTAGACCTATTGTGTACAGAACTGTTCGTCTTGAGCAAGTCTCTGATGTAAATCGGAACATCGCCTTTAAGGCTCTTAAAAATCATTGTACACTTATTTAATTTGATTTCATCAAAAAAAGGCAACCAGCCTAGTTTACTAAAGTTTATAACACTTCTAGAATAAGAGTCAACTCCAAGGATTACTCGGGCAGCCCTTTTCTGTAACCTTAGGAGACAGTGGAGTTCTTTAGCGTCGCAGATATTCCAAACCATGCTCCCATACATAAGGACGGGTTTAATCAAGGCGTTATAGTATAAGAGTCTTTCTTTTATTGGAAGTTACCTCTTTATCTTCTTCAATAAACCAATACGCTGAGAAAGCTTGGCCTTTAGACTAGAAATGTGGTCGCTAAATGTAAGATCTTG